CGCTAAAAGTCACGTAAAAATATCTAACCAATAATTTCTCGTCGTCTCGCAGGAACGGCCGGCATTAAAGGAGTTGATGGGCCAAAGAAGTTAATTGCGCGTGACACAAATTGTGTCTGCAAGAAAAAGAGATTAAAAGGCTTCCGTTAAATAGGTTGTCGCTGAAATAAAAAGCTGCACGAAACGGATAAAGGAACTGGGTTAGATTAGGTCGGTCGTAACGAGCGCCAAAACAATACCGGACCAGGTCGGACGGGGTCTTTGATTGTGCGTAGAAAATGCCGTCGTTCGTTGCTTTCATCGAGCAAATTTCTCCAACGACCAGACCAACGATCGAGTAAACGTTTGTTTCTCCAGTTTTCCTTTCACCCTCGCGTACCAGAAGAAACACACGGCGTTAACGCGTTGATCGGCAAGCCGATACTAATGAAAATATCCGCAAGGTAGACACTAATTTTCTCAGTCGGGCCATATTCACGAATTCTATTCAGCTTTCAAGATTAATCGATTTAGCTTCTTAATAAAAAGCTGCAAAAATAAATAGGTGGCGTGACAGCCAACCCGTTAAAACGATCATCGGAGGAATCGTGTAATCCTTAACCGTCTCGAGTAAATAATAACGCGAACGATAAAACAACAGCCCTCGTAACCGAACGAAATCGATGTCGCAGCATCGCTGAACGATAGTAAATAACGAGGAACGATACGGAGCCACTCGAGTCGGTAGTAATTCCGGCGATAAATTCAACAACGACGTTTAACCAATCATCGCGATCGTCGCCTAGAGAATCAGGATTACGCCGCGTGAGCAACGAGCCAATCGCGACACCGTCTATACCATCCGTGCGTGGTGATAATTAGGGAACTTAATGAGCGGACGTCGAAGGGTTGCTTTCCTGTATCCCATTCGCGAACACAATATTTAATCGTTCGCGCGAAATTTCAGGGTTCACGTTCGAAGCAATCGGCGAGATCGATGTCCGCGCGGCCTAAACGCTCGCCGAGATTTCGAGCAATTACGAAATTCCTCCAACAGAACTGGCTTCGGCGTGGCGTGCTCGCATTGCGACTATCGCGAGTGCAGTTTAAACCCCGGCACAGTTCAAAACGCTTTTCCTCCTATTAATGAATCGGGCTTGTCTCTTCGTTTCAGTCGTATTTACAGATTCGTTTCGAGAGAAATGAATCTTCTTGTTCGATTCGGTTTGCAAGAAGGTTCTTGCTTACAGGTAGCGGTTGTTATTCGTCATACGTTTAGACCTTGCCGTGGGAGAATAAACAAACTGAATAATTCACACGCCATATGTAGGAACGAGAAACAAAGGATGCGAGTTCGAGACGTAGAAGAAGCAATAAACGATACGAAGGAGTGGTTACAAACTAAAATAGTGTCTGAGAAAATAAGAAATTATGTAAATTCTTAACCTTACATCTTGCTCGCGATTTAATTGTACGTTGAATGTATTTTTCTGTTGAAAAATCGTTCAACACTGCACGAAAACATAAACGATCCTCGACGTAGAAGAAGCAATAAACGATACGAAGGAATGGTTACAAACTAAAATAGTGTCTGAGAAAATAAGAAATTATGTAAATTCTTAACCTTACATCTTGCTCGCGATTTAATTGTACGTTGAATGTATTATTCTGTTGAAAAATCGTTCAGCACTGCACGAAAACAAAACGATTTCGGTGATATACGGATAAACAGGAAAATGGTACAAGGCGAAAGAGCAATTTGAGCCGCGTAAAATAATCCTTTTAAGTCGGCCGTGCTACACGTTTAATAATGGTGCACTTAATACGCGACAACGGCCGTACCTGACGCGTATGTAAACTAACCACTCGGCCGCGAGCCTGTCGTTAATTAGAAACGCGGTAGAAAAAGGGAAATTTCCCGCGCAAAGGTCGCGCGATCGAACGAAACAACGAAGCAGAAAATGGTGTAAAAATCCGAGAAACTGAAACGTGTCTGATCGATTCGATCGCGTACAGTTAGCGTCGTTGTTTCGGTAAATCTCGCAAACGATATCTAATCGGTTCGATCGCACGGCGTTACTTCGTTGTCGGTAAATCTCTTCGAGGTACCGCCAGTTTCAGTCGCTGTATACGTGATTCATAGTTTGAATTTTCTCTGTAAAAAAAAAAATTGTAACGACAATCCATAGTTCAGGTCGAATCCAGGTTGCGATCGTTTCTGCGTTGCGATATTCCTGTAGAGAAATCTGTATGACTTTCACGGTCGATGCAGAATTTTTCGGAAAATAGAGTACACCTTAGGTGTACTAAGCTTCGGACAGCTTGTATATTTCTAGCAGCTCGAATAATTCCTTTTGAATAATTCGTTTGTTGGCGTACGATTGAAAAAGTGGAGCGCTCCAACTATTACTCAAACGTATCGAGTACTCGGGCAGCTTGAGAATAAAACAAGACTGTCCGGACGATTAATCACCGGTTAAATGGTACGTCCAACTCGATTACGGTGTACTCGGTTACGACGCAGGGGGTAATAAAATCGCGAAAAGAATAAGGGTAACGATTCCAAAAACATCGAGCCTCGTTATTTGTTACGCCGCGGAGGGTACTCGGCAATTAACGACCTAATTAATGTCGTTAATTAAGCTCGAGTATCGATGTCGCGCAACCGAGAAGTATAAACAGTGGGAGAAGAAGGAGGCGTGTATGCGCGGGCCGTAATCAGAATACGTCGGCTTTCTCGCAGAACTTTCGAACGTTCGTTCTTTTCGCGGTGTAAACACGAGGGCGTTCCGAAGATCCCGTAACTGGGTTAACCCTGATGGAATTCAGGACGCTGCGCGACCAAATACAGGCCCGCAAAACCGTCCAAGAAAACGCTCAACGGTTCGTATTTACCCGCGAAACCACCGACCACTAAACCAGTAACCACGATAGGAATATTTCCGCAATTTGGCTCTTTGTGCCCGTGCACGCTTTGAGATGTCTCCAGGGAATTGTTACTAATTGCTTAATTAGATAGATTCGCCCCCTCTCCTCCTCCACCCTCCCCCCACCCATCAGAAACTAATTAATCGTCCAATTACTCACGATCGAAGCTAAAGCGTACCTCGAAACTCTTTCGTCGCGTCAGAACTCCGAAATACGAACCATCGGACGCCGTTCGTATGTTTCACCGTTTCACGTACGAAACGGAAGGGCGGTTCGAAGATTCGTAACTAGGTTAATCTTGATAGGTATGGAATTCTCCGCGGGATTCCAAAAACAGCAGCAGCAGCATCCAGAACGCCGATAGATCGATAATCCGTCTGGTTCGCATCGAGCGAATCGTATTTCATCGTGATCGAGGAAACGAACGTGACGGAAGGAACGATCGCAGAGCCACGAACGACGATTTTACGCACGTTTCACGCGGCACTCCTATACCCCGGCGTTTCAAACGTTTCGCATTTTCGCGGCATAAACACGAGGGCGTTCCAAAGAGATCGCAACTAGGTTAACTCCGAGGAGTTGGCGACGATACGAACGGTCTACGGCGGAGTCGCGCGTACACGCGGAAAAAAAGTGAACGGTGGGAAAGAAAATGTTTGGTTACTCACCGTCGGGACAGCTGATCGGGACTGACGACGACGACGTCGGCGGCGTCGATGACGATGGCGGCGACGATAACAGGTTATAACCTTTGATTCCACCGTGATCGAGGATGCCTCCCGACAGGTCGACACATCGAGGTATCATACGCGACTCTGAGAAAGCTACGCGACAGGTAAGCTACGACGCGAACGATCTACACACGATGTATAGACTGCGACGATTACGGAAACAATACCACTCACTACACCGCGTTCTCCGCCAGCGCGCACAAACGAAACGACAGACGACCGACCGTACGATGACAACGACAACGACGACTCGCAAAGGGTAGAAAACGTTTCCCTGCTTCCACCACCGACACCGCCCTCGCGCCTCGCCACACTCGCGGCACCACTGCGCAGCCGCGACGCCGCCTTGAGTCTGCGCATGCGCGCGCCCTCCCCACCCCGCGGCCGCTGTTCAAGCTTTCCTCGTTCAAGCTTTCCTCGTTCGAGAGCGATACGAAATTCTCGTGCACAGCGAAACTTTTCGGAAGCGCATTAGATCCCGCGACCGATGTTTCCGACGTGTTTCTGTCACCTTTGTCAAACTAAAGCCTAAGCGTTCGTCAAACTTGGAGCTTAAGGCGGCTTCATTCCCGCGGCTTTAGTTTTCCAACAAACAACTAATTACAGTCGAATCGCACGATCCCGAAAACTGTTCATTTCCCGCGATTTTCTCTGACGAACTTTTCTTTTTGTAAATTTCGTTTTTCTTTCTTCTACGTCCCCTTCGTTTCTTTTTAAAATCATGTACGAATAGGTTATCAGCGAGAATTACCGAGTTATCGCAAATGAAAACTTTTTACGTATCCGTTGCCTTCGGGCGACCGCGGGAATGCAAATTAGGTGTAATTCGAAATTGGCGCGCACAGTTCGAATGTCGGCGACCGACCAAGATTACTTATTACTTTCATCAAAATCACTGTGCTCGTTGTACAGGGTGCGGCAGAAATAACTAACACGTTTTAAAAAACGATTGAAAAAAAAAATGTTACGTGACAACACCGGATACTTTTTATTTCTTAAATCTAGATATAAAAATAGTAGCTCGGCGGATTCAAGTCCATGTGACTTTTTTCTGTGGGGTTACCTCAAGGCCGAGGTTTTCAAACATCGTCCTTGGTCCTTGAATCAAAGGAGGCCAAGAGGAAATTGAAAGAATTTCCCCCCCCCACCCCCCCGAAATGCTAACGAGAATGACGGAAAACTTTCAAGAACGACTCCAAACGTGTATCGCCCGTAATGGCTACCGTTTCGACGACATAATTTTTAAAACATAAAGTAAAAAAACATAAAGTAAAAAAAAAAACTTGTTTATATCTAGATTTAAAAAATAAAATGTTTCCGGCGGTGTCTCGTGCCACTTTTTTCCAATCGTTTTTTTTTAAAATGTGCGAGTTACTTCTGCCGCACCCTGTACCAAGAAACAAAGATTCGTCGTTTCGTGGCTTCGAACAACGACTCTACCAGCGAACTGATTTTGAATCTCCTGCGACGAAACTCTCAGGTAATGCAGTTTCGATTAAAGCCCGTCAAGTACGAAAAAGTTTTTCAATCAGAACGGAACGTGCTCCGCGGGCCTTTCTTTCTTCGTTGACTGACTAGGAGGAAAGACAATTGGCGAGCGAAATGAAGAAAGAAAGTTGTCCAGTATCCGCAGGATATTCTTTCCGATGAATTCTTCGGCCAAGGTTCAACACGGGAGGGTTCCTATAACGTCGTCGGCTACTCGACAGTTCCTCCCACGACCGTCTATTGCAATTCTTCCTCGTTTCGGATACTTGAAACTTCCAACCGTGGGAAAAATAAAGTACCTGAAATTCTTAATAATAAGATGCCAACGATCGAGCCTAGCCGCGTATCGATGCGTCCTAGAAAACTTGAGAGGACCGTGCAAAGAGAAGAGTTCGCTGTAGAGAGGATACCAAAATCGCTAAATACTGCGAAATTCTTCGCCGCAACAAAAAGCAGAAATACAAACGGCCGCCACGCGTCCCGACGCTCGTTTCCACGGGCAACGTGCGCCAATGGATCAAACCGAATCACGTGTTTTAAACCTCTGCGAGCCACCTTTATCGAGCAACATTTAGTTCCGCCAAAGCACGCCGTATCATGATTAGTTTTCCAGACGCGTGCTAAAAGTTATAGTCGCAGAAACTTCAGTTATTTTTTTTTCAAACAATTCTGGGATCTTACGTTTATCGTGCTGTTTATATTTGCAAGATATTCCATCTAGATTCATTTTCTTCGACGCTCGACTTTCGCAATTCATTCATTTAGTCGTTCCAGTGTAAAGCATCGGCATCGATGGATGGCTGACGTGGACGATGAACGCGTTAAATGATTTAAATTTTTCATACGACTCATCGAAACTCTGGTGTCGAGAGTAAATGTTACATCTGAAAATATGTTCGCGCTATGTATAATATCAATTTGATTCGATTCTATCGCTCCGTAAGAGTTCAAATAAATCACGTCCGTTTTAATTACTTTTTCGCGTTACGATTTCTCACTCGTGCGATTCAATTTCAAAGGTTGAAACCGAAACGAAAGCCGCGAGGTGAACTGCGAAAGGGGTGAAAAACCTTCGCGCTGAATGGCGACACTCGCGACAAATGGTTCTTCACGGATGTCCCCCGCGGAACGGGTGGCAATTTTAGCAGCGCTCGAAGAGTACGCGAACGCGCTGGCCATTTACCACAGCACCCTGAAAAAACCAGCGGGACGCGATAACGATATCCCTGTTGACTGCGTTTATTCCGAGGCCGAGTACGTCGCACCGTGTGTCCGCGAGAAGTGTAATAATGTCGCGCGATACCGACCCGGGAGAAAAATAAAACATGTTAAAATATACGTTACCGAAGAGCAAGATGCTTGCCATACGTGTCTATGCATGTTGCAGTGACTTGGAAATATCGGACGTGCAACTCGGTCCCGATGACATCGCGGGAATCGAAAGAACGAAAGCTGCGTTCACGGAACTCTACGAAGACAGGTTGGAGGAACGACTCGAACGAATCGTCTCGGATTGTCGAGCGAGTTCTTTCTGGATAGAATTGTCGAAAGAACTTGTTCGTCGATCAAAATTTACTCCGAATGGCTCTTTCGAGATTTTTAATGAACCGCGTAGAAGATATTAGATTTCCCTTGAACATCCGCTCGAATTGACGTTGCTTCTTGTTCTTGCCGATAGCAAGGTCCTGGTCGAAAGCTTGATCGCGCACGAGAAAGAGGAGACATCCCTTCTCGCGGAAAGCGACAAGTTGGAAGAAGTCGGAGCACAGTTGGAGAAGATGTTCAACGACGAGAAGATCGCTATCGAAGAGAAGAAGAAGCGTGTACTGAACGAACTAGCCGAGGAACAGGTATCGTAGAACAGTGTCGGGGAAGAAATTGTAATCTTAGAAAATGTAACGCTACCGAAAGTTAACGTTGAAGCAATCGATTGCTGCTCGACTCTATCCTAGAAGAAAGGAAAGATCGGTTCTGTCGAACGAACCCGGGGTTCCTTCCTAGGACTGATCTTTTTCTTTCTCTCGTCCGGGAACGAGGTACTGGCGTGCGTGTTGGTAATTTTTAATTCGCGGAAATGGTAATTTCGCATTTAAAACAACAGAGAGACATAGAGAAACTGAAATTAATTGCGGACGCGGAGTTTGAATATGTTACCGCCTGGGAAACGGCCAGATACGAGCAGAACGTTCTGCGCGGTGAGATGGAAATAGAAAAGTTGGAAAGGATATTAAACGACTGGCGCGTTCGCGAAAAAAACGAGGAACGGGTCCACGACGAACTGACGAAATTTCTAACCCGGGAAACAGCGGTGAGTACGCGTAATAAATACGCGGTTTCCGCGAATGCAAATCCCCGATGAATGTTTTCAAATTCACAGTCGTTCGAGGAGAAATCCAAGGAATTGGAGGAACGATACGTTCGAG